GGACTCGCGTTACGCTAGCGCAGCGGATCTTTCCAATTTTCTCACATTGCGGATGCTCGCTCGTCCCAAATCACGGCGAGCTCGGTGATAAATCGCTCTTGCGCGCGTGCAAGCCAGTAGTGCGTACGAGTAAGCGACGAATGTGCCGCGGGCCTCGTTCGAAGAGGGAATCGTGGAGTAAGGACGTTGGAATGTACGATCAATGATCGCCGCCGTCGAGTTTGGGCTCGATCGTAGACGCGATAAAAACGAGCTCGCTCGCTCGCTCGCTCTCTCTCTCTCTCTCTCTCTCTCTCTCTCTCTCTCTCTCTCTCTCTTTCTCCCTCACAATCAGGTGAATTTCGGTAGATTTAAGCCTGATCCTCTCCGAAGACGACTATGGCAGGTGTACGGGTGTCGCTCGTATAAACGGGAGTCGTGGTCTTCCGCGGGGACGACGAGGAGGCGAGAGGAGAGGAGAAGAGCGCGCGTGGATCGAGATAGTCTCGAGGATCGACGCATCCAAACATGCTCCTCGAGGGTTGCGCGGTCCAGGGCTGGACGACTCACTCGCGCGGGAAGGAAGTGTGTGCTGTCGATACGCGCGACTCGGTGAGCAGCGCGCCGCGATAATGGAGTGATTCAGTAGTCGTGATAACGCCAACGGTGCACGTGCGCGAATGCCGACAAATACAAGGGAGTCTTGTGAAAACGTGCTACGTCAGGTGCTCGCCGCCCGACAGAGGCGATTTTGCTGAGAATTTCCATGGATCGCAGGCGGCGGCGCGGAGATTTCGGTACGTGAATCTTCTGTAACCTTTACATAACAACGTTATTTCGACTCGATCACGACGAAACCTCGGTGTTTCTACGCGCGTTTTACGCCGTTTCGGGCGAAGAAGTGGGGGGGAAAAACAATCACGCCGTTTACACGTAAATTATACATTTCGTTACTCGTCTCTCGATTCTGACGAACACCCCGCGTATATTCTCAGATATAATAATAAAATTGCACGTAATCACGATCGTGTTACTTTGCATTACAAGCTGCGCACCTAATAGAATAACATTTAAAACCGAGGAATTAAACGAAATGGTTTTCGCAAAAGTCATCGCGCTGCAGCGACGCAACGAAGCTTCAATGAGAATTAAACGAAGTGGTTTTCGCAAAAATCATCGCGCTGCAGCGACGCAACGAAGCCTTCAGTGGGAATTAAACGATACGAATTGTACAGTTCGGCGATCTCGAACACTTTCCTAAAATCGGTAAACGTGAACAGAAGTTACTGATAAAACTTCAGAGGGACTTTAGGAATTGACAAAGAAGAGCCGGCTAATGTATTGTAAACTTAAAGATTATACATTTGTACACGCTCGTCTGTCAATTTACGTGGAGCAATAGCAGACGTGGACTTTTTTTTTCTTACGTATTTTGCACACTGTCGCAGACCCCGTTTGCGCAATTATTAATCTATAAGGTTAAAAATAATCACGTGGAACGAATGCTCCACGTAAATTGAGAGATGAGCGTACACTGAAAAAAATTTCTGGTTGAATATGGACGAATCAGATAATTCCTTTAGGATTTACCAGAATTCCTTTAGGATTTACCAGAATTTCTGTAGGATTACAGGAATTCTGGTAAATCCTAAAGGAATTCTGGTAAATCCTAACCAGAATTCCTTTAGGATTTACCAGAATTTCTGTAGGATTACAGGAATCTGGTAAATCCTAAAGGAATTATCTGATTCGTCCATATTCAACCAGAAATTTTTTTCGGTGTACACAAACGTATAAACTTTAAGTTTATATTATATTAGCTGGCTCTTGGTCAATTCCTAAAGTCTCTCTAGATTTTTGTTAGTAACGAAAACTTGTTCGCGTTATACATATATGTATACATAAGTAAAAATTTCTCCGTTTATACGGAAAACGAAATTCAAAATCGAACAGGAACAAGGAGGAGAAAACGAAGGGACTTTTGCCGCGTAAAGGAAACCTGTGCAACTCGAGAAATGAACCGACGCTCGTGAACTTTAAATACACTCACGTCATATTCCACGTGACATTTACGTGAAATATTCGATTGACAGATTTAATTGAAAATGTCTGCCTAAAAATTTGCCACAGGGCGCTTCAATATTCTCTCCCTATCGCATTGCATTTTGACGTATTAATCTTCTAATTAAACCAAATATAAATAAATAAAGAAATGAATTTTCAACGACTGATCAATTTCATTTTCGTTAATATTTAAAACGACCGAACTTCATAATTACGACTCGTGGCTATGATATATCGCCAATATACATACAAGAATCTATACGAATATCTAGCGTAATAATAAATTTGATCCAGTAATATACAAGTAACACGCGTTATAGGAGCATTAGCAGATTTTTATGTACATTTGTACGCTGGTTCACTGTCGTGTCGACAAACAGATTTTGTTTACTAGCTTAGCGAGGCCGCGTACACACGTACGCAAAGCGAGAAAATTATATTTAGCAAATGAGATCCTATCGTGTCGCACGGTATTGCTTTGCGTGACATGAGAAATAAGTATTTGCGACTATTTGTCCGCGTGTGCCCGCGCTACATTTCGTTCACAATTTTCGATACAGAATATTTCCAACGTACATTATAAATCTTTTATCTATTGTATAGTAAAATTACTTGAACCAAGTTAGTACGAATTATTGGCGCAAGAGAGGCGATGCTGGAAACAGATGCGACGGCAAAATTTGTGACGAATAGTAAAAAAAAGTACAGCTTTTATTATAATATTAAATGCTTGCGTGAGATTGTTTACGTACTGCGTGCATCTGCACATGTATAATACACGCGCACACGTGTCCTGTTAGAAAAATCCAACTCTAAAATCTCTCTCTCCTTCTCCCCTTCGCCCCCTTGCGCGCGCGCGCGCACATACACACTTTGCAAGTACAATTTCAAAATATATGCGGAAATAAAGGTACTTTATATCTGCACATTCCGTCAAATTCCTTATACACCCGGTTAGACAGTTGTAATAAACTGATTTATATTTCGAAAAAGTGCGTGCTCCAAAGATCTATGCTATATTAAATGTTGTCACAAAATTATATTTTATCTAGAAACTTTTATTTATGCAGCATACAAATGGACATAAATTCCAGTTTTTGTTACACGCGTTTGATGCGAATTACTTATACATACATTTCGCGTCACTTATCTTATACAGTGTTTTTTTCGAATTACAATTGGTATGTAAGAAAATTTCTATATGCAAAATAATACGAGTGAGAATTTATAAATCAACGTTGTCTTTTCCCAACTGACACGTTTGTGAAAAACAGATAAGGATAATAGCTGTGACATTAACAGTGATATTCTTTTAGCCGCATAATAAGTAGCTGTCGGCGAGTACAGCACAAGTCCCAAAGTTACTATGAGAATACGGCTCTGAAGAATAAAAAGAGCCTTGACTGGGTGTTAGTGTCAGAAGATAAAAATTCGTTTATTTAAGTATAAAAATTAACAAACGTTTCGGTCTTTCTTTAGACCATCCTCAGTGTGTAAAAGACAAGAAGTAAAAGAAAATGAAAATAATTTAGATGTAAATGTTAATAGTTCAAAATTCGCTCGCAGCGCAATATATAAAAGTGTAAAATGTAGCCGTATTCGGATCTACGACTGCCGATCGAGAGGTCATCTTTTCGTCGAGAAGTATTGGAGTTGAGTTGGTAAATTCCAAAGTTACGATCGTTATCGAATAATTTTGCTAATTGTAGAATAGCAAATAACGGGATTGTAACGCAAAGTAAACCGTTTCTAATAAATTGTGCGCTTCTTTTAGTTTCAATTGGTTCACATCGCAAAGCGGAAATGAAAAATGTGTAGTGTCTGCCAATTAGTTTGGTGCAACGAAATGACTACGTCTAATTGGAAAAAGATTTTTGACAGCTTGATTATTTCATGGTCTTAGAGTCAGTCTGGGAGAAAGAGCTTTACATTCTACTTTCTAAACAGTTATATTTTTATAACACATATAAATGCATTTGTAGAAAATGAAGATGTGATAAATAATGGAACGTCAATACTTGACACTTGCAATGAACAAGTTCGTAAAATTGGATCCAGACCAAACTAGCGAGCTTGAATGACTTATGAATCATGCGATGAATATGAAACGAAATGAGACGGAATGTATTCATATGTATTTGACGTAGATTTGAATTTGCTCGACACTCGCGGCACCGTCGACTCGATCAAGCTCAGTTGCCGATGTTGTATGCGCTTATACGCAATCGTGTATTTGATCTAAACCCATCTTTAACCCATCCATTTCTCACAAAAGACTTCGTCGGAGAACAAAGGATCGATATCCGGTGGGTGTGTGTGTTTTTTCTAATATGATATCTGACATACACACACACACACGTACAGACACATGGAAAACATGTGCGAGCACATATTCGTACATAAACGCACGTACACACATATGAAAATTCATGAATTCTCCCTACTACCGACTACCTACGTTGAAGCTTACGGGGAATTTAATTACCAACGAGTGTAATGGGGTACAAAGCGGAATATTGCGCTTGAGAGGAATGCTTTAGTACTAAGCGCAGCTATTAGTCACAGCAAGATATATAGTATACAACGAGACGCACATAGATTCGATTTTAGCATCTTATCTCTCATCATGGCAAGGTCGTACAATATATTTGTATAATAAAAATGTGCGTTCATTTATTAATTAATCCAATAAACTACATTCCAAGTATTTTTCTTACTCGTCGCAGCATTATCGGGCTTCGAATTATTTAAATAAATATAATCAAATTTAAATTCGTTGTAAGTCAGATTAGCAAATTTCACGTGGAAAATCTTTAAGATCTTCTCAGTGTCACGAACAATGGCGTTAGATTAAATTTTATAATCGAACGCAAATTACCTGTTTCATTTTTGTTAGCGTGAGGTTTGATAGACGCTTATTGCGATCGATCTTATCGACTTTATACCAAACGAGCGAAGAGCAGCGATCCGTTGTTCTTTAAAATATCCATGGCAAAAATCGTTCGTTATTAGTATTTTGTTCGGCGAGATACGATTGTATTTTTATCATTACGTCACGACTTTCCATCCCCAATTAAAGCAAATAAATTCATTTTCCATACAATTTGAACGTTGAAAAATCATTACTTTGTGCAAATAAGAGCGTCATATTTAATATAATATATTGCCGCTCAATTTTTACGCCGTATAAACATTTAATGGGGACAATTATTAGGATTAAAAATTGGATAATGGTAAGCACCTACTTTTTATGTAAATCGTTTTCCACAAAATAACCGATAAAAGTAATATAGAAATTATTGCATTTTCAACAGGACAAGACATAAACGTAACATTCTTTCGCTTGTACCCGCTGAGAGACGTCGTGCAGGCAAATTGTGAATAGAAATGCATAATTGCGATAAAGTATAATGAAAATAATTTAGAATAATCGTTCGGAAATCGTCACTTTCTAAGAATATTTACGACTGTTCCGTACCAGGTATAGAGGAGCTTCCTCTCACAGGGATATCGTAATTAGTTGCGTGACAAACGGAAAACTTATTCGCGTATTAGCTTTTCCATTCCGTTCCCTTTCAGCGATTCACTCTTCCCCGTTGATTTTCCACGTTGGCCGCTGAAGGAAAAGGGTAGCCCTCTCGCGGCTCGTCCTTTTCTACGATATGCAATTCAATTCCATCCGATTCTACGAGACTTTTAATGGCGTTATTACCTTCGTACCACGGACCAGATT